AGAGCGCGGTTTTGACAGACTCACAGACTGGTGCCTAATTTTCCAACAACGCGCGCAAAGCTTTCTGGGATAGCGTCACACTTCACACCACCATATTTAAAAATTTTTGGGTTTAAACTTTCCGCTCGAAATACTCAAATACAGAGCATTTATTGAGCGAAAGTAATACTTATTTAAAAGATTAAAGATCAGGAATGACTGGGCAACATCCAGGTAAGAATTTTGTTATGTTTTATTTATAAATAGAGCAATTTTGAAAGGAAATATTTACTATCTTTATTCGTGAATTTTGAGCACATGTTCCAGCTTAAAATTTCAATTTGCTTCGACAATATTTGAATTAAAACAACATTAGTTTTATAGAAGGCTTACATTTGACTCAGCCTTTATATTAAATGTTGTTTATTGTAATGCCAAATAGTATACTTTGACCTTTGTGTATAGTGTATATGACAGATTGCCAGATTCCAGTGTTTCTTGTATAAAATAATATAGCTTGGCATCTACTCAATTCTCATATGCCTACCCAGGCATGTCCCAGCTAAACATGGTTTGAGAAAATTTATCGACTGGTTTAAAATTAACTGGTACTTTCATAAGTTTCCAATATTTATTCATATATATAGGTGGGTCAGTTTAGAATAGATCAAAATATCAATTTGATGTGTTGTTGTCATTTGTGGCAACTTGATTATAGACATGTCCCTAACTGAAAACAGTTAAAGTCTTTAGTTTGCTTGTTCAAACTTATGAATACATTTAGTTACACCACATGTCTTCATGATCTGCTTAATAATATATGTAACAACCTTTGGGCTTCATTTTATATATTTTAGAGACACCCCGGCAAGGCTTTGATTGTTTTTGGAATTACCCATTTCACTCCAATGAGCCCAATATTCAGCACTTTGTTATTAAATGTTATCTTGCCTAATGCCGGACACTTTTATTTGTAAAGTGAAGTGTCTAGCTAGAGTGCTAGACTCTGCCCAAGTTTCATGTTGACATATAACACTTCCTACTTCCTACATTTCATGGTAGACAATTTTACTTACCGACTGTGGCATGCTAAATAATTATAACCTATAACACCTATAAAGGAGCAATTTCCTCTTATGTTACCTGCTTGAAGTTCTTTGTAGGGGTGTGCAAGATAGAATGTTTTTGCTATCCAGCTACATACAGGATATATGTTGGATAGTTGAAAAATATCCAGCTAGATTCAGGGTATTATTCACATATATAAATGTTTTTTTTCTGAACTTAGCTGCAGCCGAGCTTCGCCCTATTCTTCATGTTACATGATGTTCTTGCTTTTCTTCTGCCCAGTCCCCAGCCAAGTTACTGTATGTATACAGTATACTTAACTCTTTGGCTACCATAGAGACTGCTAACTACAGATTTTTAACTCATTTATTGACAGACCTCTAACTACTGATAAATAAAATTGTCTGGCATTTATAGATGATAAATACTAAAGTAGGTCTGTAATAGCCTCTGATGTTTCAGCACTTCTACACTTGTTCTCAATTTCTTTTACTAATTATATTTTATTTAAAGACTATTTACATTATATGTTTTAACTTTTTATTATCTATGCTTTAACTTTATCATATTTTAAAAATATTTATAGGCTATATGTATTTGTATACACTATATTTAATAACTATTCTAACTGTATTAACAGGACATATTTTAACTATTTATTTAATATGTTATTACTATTTTTAATCTATTTGGGCAATATTATATCCACTATTTATTAGCTATTTTTAACAAGCTGGGATGTATTTTAACTATTTATTATCTATTTTTAAGCTATATTATCACTATTTTTGAACTATGTATTATCTATTTTTAAACTATATTATCACTATTTTTGAACTATGTATTATCTATTTTTAAACTATATTATCACTATTTTTGAACTATTTATTAGCTATTTTAAACTATATTATCACTATTTTTGAACTATGTATTATCTATTTTTAAACTATATTATCACTATTTTTGAACCATTTATTATCTATTTTTAAACTATATTATCACTATTTTTTAACTATTTATCTATTTTTAAACTATAATATCACTATTTTTTAACTATTTATTATCTATTTTTAAACTATATTATCACTATTTTTGAACTATTTATTATCTATTTTTTAACTATAATCTCACTATTTTTGAACTATTTATTATCTACTTTTAAACTATATTATCACTATTTTTGAACTATTTATTGACTATTTAAACTTTGTTGAAACCCATTTCACCTATTTATTACATATTTTTTACCTATATTGTCACTATGTTTTAACTATTTCATACATATTTATTAACTATGTCGAAACTAAATATTTTTAATAATTTCCTTTAATAGCTCTATTTTAATCATATTTGAAACCTATTTAATTTCTATTCGAGTACATCAATTAAGTATTTGTTTAGAAATATATCATGAATAGGAAAAAAATATGGAAAAAATAGCTTTTCTACCCTAATTTAAATAGGAAAAACCTCGAAAAAAAATAATAGTGAAAATAGGAAATAAATACTTTGATAAATAGGAATTAAATAGCCCAATAAAATAGGAATTAAATAGCAATTAAATAGTGTTTGTTTCTACAAGGGTATAGTTTAGTTTTCATTTTCGTGGATTTTATTAGTCCATTAGTTATCCATGGTTTCTTAGGGCATATGTTGTCTTTTAATTTAACCACTTTTATTGGAAAATGTTTGCTAAAAATTCCTTGACACGTCGGGTCAGCTGTATCAAATTTTGGGTCACGCGATGAAGCCATATTTTCGAATTCGACCGCGTACATTAATGAAAAGCCTGGGAATGACTTGTTATGATAAAAATAGCTCAGTTTAGAGCGCGCTTGTGCTCATGGGATAGATGCATCGTCCACAACTAATTTCCAGAGGGAAAGTCTAGATTTCAACGTTTTGTTTGATACCAAACTTGTTATGGAAAATCCTAAAACATCCATCGCATATTTGGGTTGATTTATGAAGCTTAGCTACATGGTGAAAAATGGTTTAAGTTGCTCTACGAATGGGTATATTTCGCTCCAATAAAATTCAAAGTTGGATAAAATATCGTAAATACAAGATCAGCTGTGTGAGGATAAATACTCAGGTAAGAGACATATGTTTTTACTTTTCCCAAATACTCTTTCGCTTGCGCAGATATGGGAAATATTTTCAGGACATTTTCCTCATTTATGGCCTAAATATATTTTTGCTACTATACAGAAGAAATGCCACCAGCACGAAACAAGTTTGCAGTTGGCCATTTCATGAGGACAAAAAAGCAACTTAAGAATTCTTTGGCCGAGGAAAAAGCCAAGCTATCGCTAGAAATAAAGAATAGTCAACAGCAGATTCGTCGACTTAAGATAAAGGTAGGATTTTTCACAACAATATGAATATAGAATATTATGTTACTTGTAATTCATCATCATTAATTTTTTTGACAGTCCATATTTAGACTACATGTATTTCTCTTGCCTAAAAATATGTTATTGCTTTCGGCATTGTTTTTAATAGGGCCTAATAAAATTAAAAGCTTTCATTACTTAGGCTATAGCAGGTCTATTGGCAGTGACAGCATCAGCTGCTTACACAATAATATGTGTATATTAATTCATGCATTTAATACAGCCAGATATACAAGGCAGCTCTAATATTTTAATTATATAAGGGCAAGTGGTCTTTTGAAGTTTTCAGCTTGAAAATATAGTATGATTTGGTCAAGGCTGTCTTTATGCGTCAGGCTTGCCCGGTCTTGACAGATTCTCAAGATTTCATATTGCTCTGACTTTGTCCTGGTTTCATGTAAATGGAACTGTTAATCCAAGCACAGTATCTAGTTAGCCGAGCTAAAATGTCCCATGCAAAATCACCAGCATGGCCATTTAAAGAAGGCTGACTAACAAGCCAACAGAAATATTTTTGAAATATTTCTGTCTTTTTTAGTGTCCTCGAAATGAATAAAATAGTTTCAAGGCTGTCCTCTGACTGAATATTTTTTTTCATTAATGCGATTTTAATGTGTTGTTTTGTTCTTACATTATTTTCAGGCGACAGCAATTACAGAAACTAAACAAGATCTACAGTGTAAAGTACCTTGCAATGCTAACACAAAATCTAGCACAGCTAATGGTACGGTGTATGCTAAACCCTGATTTTGATTGAATAAAACAATCATAATTATTATTGAATACAACTAATGTTTAATCTAATCTTTACGACAGGTATGCGTACCAGGACCCCAACCACATTAGAAATTGACGAAATGGCACCTGTAACACTAAAGCGAAGAAGAACTGAAACATTTGATATGGCTTTAATGGTTCATGGTGGGACAAAAAGCAATCCAAAGCCAGCATTTGATGGTTTATATGACACATTGTCAAAAAGGTGCAAAACAAGTGCCTTAGGCAACTATGTTCTGAAAGACAGTAAAGTAGCAAATTATGTCAT